TCATGTTCTTCTCTGATTCCTTCAGAGCTCGACTGGCATAAGCAATAACCCTGAAGCCTTGCTTTTGTTGTTGTGATAGCACAGCTCCCAGACCTTTAGAGCTGGCGTCAATTTCTAGCCGAAATGGTTTGTCAAAGTCTGCGTATCCTAATATCGGCGCCTCTGTCAAAGCCTTTTTCAATAGCTTAAACGAGTTCAGGCATTCCTCAGTCCATAATTCACCTATCCGTTGTGTTTTACCTTTCTTTTTCTCCTTACTGTGTTTCTTTGTCATTTTGTTTACCAAGTCATGCAATGGTGCGGCAATTTTTGCAAAACCAGGCACAAATTTTCTATAATAGGAAGCAAAGCCCAAGAATGATCTGACCTCTACCGTAGTTGTTGGCTGTTTCCATTCTTTAACAGCTGCAATTTTATCTGGGTCAGTGGCGATGCCATCCGACGAAATCACGTAACCCAAAAAATGTACCGATTTCAGACCGAAGCAGCATTTGTCTGGGTTCAGCTTTACTCCTATCTCCCTAAGACGGAGAAACACTTGTTCTAATCTTTCTAGATGGTCCTCCCAAGTTTTTGAGTAAACTAGTATATCATCCAAGTACACCAACATTATTTGAAATAGAAAGTCACTCATAGCACTCTGCATTACTCGCTGGAATGTAGCAGGTGCATTAGTTAGACCAAACGGCAAACGGGTCCACTCGTACAGTCCCAGTGGAGAAATAAATGCAGTTTTATGTTGATCGTTGGGGTGCATGGCCACTTGGTGGTAGCCACTAGCCAAATCCAAGGTAGAAAAAAATCTTGCTCCCCCCAACGCATCAAGACATTCATCAATACGAGGCAAGGGGAATGCATCCCTTCTTGTGATATTGTTCAATTTCCGGTAATCACAACACAGTCTTATCTCCCCTGACTTCTTTTTTACCACTACTATCGGTGCCGCATACGGGCTAGTGCTGGTTGTAATGATTCCCTTTTTTAGTAGATCGTTCAGGTGTGCCTTCACCGCAGAGTAGTGACTCGGTGGTAATCTTCGATAAGGTTGCGCCACCGGCTTGTCTTGTAGTAAGGGTATCTGGTGTTTTATTACTTCCGTGTAACCCAAATCACCCTCGTACGAGGCAAATATATCCCTGTACTTATTCAGCAATTCATTTAGTTTTGGGTCCTCAGTTTCCGGGAATGTATATGATCGGCCATCCTCTTTCTTCACCTCGGCCGTCACATTGACCGACCTAATTGTTACTTCATTACTGCTGGTATTGCTCAGTTCGATGCACTGTGCCGACCTTTGTACCTCGACGTTCTGTGGTACTCCTACCAGAGTATTAGGCGGTATAAAAATTTCCTCATCCAAAACATTTGCCACTAATCCTTGAACTAGTCCATTTTCCGCTGATGTGTATGTCCGCAGTAACACGACGCCTGCCCTCAGTGCGGCGCCACATGGTTCTATCATCACATCACCATTCACGCTTCTATCACCAATTTGTAATGTGATTGCCTTGACCGTGTTTGCCGGGACTGATATCCTTCCTCTGGTCTTGGCAAACCTGGCCAACTTGGATCCCCGACCTGGTGTGGTCGATCCGACAATATTTGTAAGAAATTCTGGCAACTGGCCAAGAATATTCATGCCCAACAGGCAAGGTATATTTGACACATTTGTCTCTAGGTTGTGTTTCGTAACGAACACCCCAACCTGCTTCAACCTCTGTCCCGCCACCACGACATCCGCCAGAAAATAACCACAGTATGGAATGGTTAGTCCATTAGCTGCCGTCAGGCGCATGCATGTGTCAGACCTCAACCTATGGTCTTTTCCTTTCATCCATTTGGTGTAAAAATTTTCCGTGATTGTCGTCACCTGGGAGCCTGTATCCACAATTGCCTTCACCGCGATGTCCCCAATCGTAATCACCATTTCGGGACAGACTCCCATCATTTTGCTTCTTGGGCCATAACCTCGCCCCTCTGTAGCCTGGCCCTGCCTTACAGAGGACGACCGTTTCCCTGGCAGTACCGTGCCATATGTCCGGGTTGTGAACAGGACAAACAAATTGGTCGACCGTCAGCCGTCCACCGGAGCGATGGACCGGCGGGTCGCGGCCGTCCAACCTGTCTCTGTTTTGTCCCGTTCTTTTCCTGATTCTCAGCTGTTGACCTGCTTTCCAACCTCTCCAATCTTTGGTTAACCTTATCCAGGTGGGCCAACAGTTGAGCCATCATGGTTTCCACCGTGCCGGTTCCCGTGGGTGGGGATTGTTTCTGTTCCGGCACCGAGACTTTGTCCACCGAACAGTTCGATTGGTCCTCATCCTCGGACCTGCGGATCGCTGAGTTCCTGACCTGAAGGAAGGTCAACTGCGGGTCTTTGTGGACCTCCTCTTTCAACTCTCTCCTTAAGATCGGGGTTGCTAGCCCCTCGATGAACTGGTCCCTCAGTAGGCGTACATCAATGTCAGGTGTTTTGCCCTTTACCGAATCAAAGGCCCTGTTTATTCGGTGTGAATACTCCATCACACTCTCCGCCATTCTCTGCTTTAAGCCTACGAACCCCGATAGCAGTTGCGATCCCGACCGTCTCTCCCCAAAGGTCTCCATAATTAGATCCAGCACCTTATCTGGATCTGATTGGACGGTTTTATCGTGGCATTTGACCTCTGCCCTAACCGTCTCTCCTATACTGCCCATCAGCAGTCTTAATCTTTCCTCTGGTGACATGTTTCTCGAGGCCCAGGCCGCTTTGACCTCCTCACTGAACCTGTTGGTTAAAGTTGGATCACCGTCCCCGTAAAATTTGTTAATGTGGGACTCTCTGGGCAGGACCACAATATGGGTCTGCTTCTCGTCCAGAGTAGACATTTTATTCCTTTAGTAAAAAAAAAGAGTTCTTTCTTACCGTGTGTGTATGAAAAAATTTTCCTCGTTCCTCAATTTTCACTGTTCCTGAATGTCCGAATTCACACACACACTAAACACAGTTATGAACTAGGTTGACTATGGGTGCCTAAAGCGGCAAGTCTCGTTGAATTCATCCTGATCGCAGCGCCAAATGTAACGAGACTTATCCTGCTCGCAGAGCCATAATGTAACGAGTCCCCGAGTCTATCCTGCCGACAACGCCAAATGTAACGAGTCTCTGACTACCCTGCCGACAACGCCAAATGTGACCTTCCCGAGTCTAACCACTCATTCCACACAACATTGACCACAGCATAGATACTCGAAGATGCAGGTTCATTATTGATCCTTTTATTACATGAATCAAAGAATGTTTCACAATAATATATTGAATCAAGAGAGATGTTTCACAATAATAGTCTGAATCAACGGACCCCCAACAGTCCTCACTAGGCTTCATCTAACTGAATACACATGTCTAACGTCCTTCTTAACACAATATAACCAACTGGATACTGCCACACAGACTCACTGAGAGAGAGAGACTGACGGACTGACTGACAGACCTTCCGAGAGACAGACCGACTTTCTGAGACCTTCTGAGACCTTCTGAGCTCAGCCGTCGCCTTCCTTATATCCCCTTCATAATCGTACTCATATTCGGTCCTATCATAATCGTAATTGTAATCGATTCTAATCGTTACATCAGACTGTTAATTACGCCGCTTCTGTCGTACAGTCCGATTTTAATAAGCCACCTGCATCCTGTCACATCAAAGTTGACAGACCGTCTTTCGTATCGCTTCCCGAGATATTACGCCTTGGCATCAGCCAACACCTGCACTGTGACGTCAGACTGTAACACGTTATGTCTCTTGGTAACTTCCCCTAGTTACACATATATATATATATATATATATATATATATATATATATATATATATATATATATATATATATATATATATATATATATATATACACTTTGTATATATATATATATATATATATATATATATATATATATATATATATATATATATATATATATATATATATATATATATATCCCCGCCATCACTCACAGGCAGAGTATCTTCCAGGCATCTCTTCGAAATTAAATTTATATAATTTATATAGAAAATAAATACTTTTAAGTCTACCGCCTCCCCCCTCACCCCCCCCCCCCCCCCCGAAAATTTCAAGTGCCCCCTCTCCCCCCCCCCCCCCCCCCGGAGAAAAAAGTCTGGTAGAAACACTGCTCACAGGACCAATTACTCCATTTCAAACACCCCTTGGTCATTACCCCCCAGTACCCACCCCCCGGGTCACCTAACGATATATATATATATATATATATATATATATATATATATATATATATATATATATATATATATATATATATATATATATATATATCCAGTATTCATATTCATATTTATATGTGTCCGTGATTTTTGTGTGGTATGTGTGTGTGTGTATGGGCTCCCTTAAAGTCTATCTGAAAATAAACAAAAGCGGAGGATAACGCCCACGTAACACAACACAACAAAGCGGCGTCTGTGTGCTCTGATGATGGGAGGTTTATTTTTAAACCACCTCGCCGGAGAATGGCGACGCCAGTCAATACAAAGATGCTCACCTCGACTGTTAAACAATGGCTTATGTTAAATCATTATTTCCTCTCCCACCCCGCTCACTTTTTATTTCCTCTCTCGATCTTTCTGGAATTGTCTACGACTAGGTTCAGTCTCAGGGACAAGCAGTTAATTGTGTTATGACCAAGGTGAAGGCTGTGCGGGGGGGGGGGGGGGGGGGGGGGAGGGGAGAGAGAACCAGTGGCGTAGGCAGGGGGGGGGTTAGGGGGGGTCATAACCCCCCCCCCCATAGACCCCTCGGTATATATAAAAAGTATGAGGGGGGGTGCAAATCGAAAGTTTGAGGGGGGGTGCAAATCGAAAGTTTGAGGGGGGGGGGTGCAAATCGAAAGTTTGTCCCCGGGTAAAAATTGGAACCCCCCCCCCCCTTGAGACGATCCTGGCTACGCCACTGGAGAGAACAACAACACTACATGAACTAGAAGAACTCACCTTATTCTCGTCAAAGACGTTGAAGACAAAGTTAGCAAACTTGCTTGGGTCGCCGAACGGGAAAAATTGTTGATAGATTTTTGTAAAACCCTGGGGGGAAAAAAAAGAAACATTTCCGTTAAATAAGTAAGAGAAAAAAAAATCAATATTTTTCAATTAAAATTGAAACAATAAACGTTAAAAGCGACCTACTTTGAATGGTTTTTCTTTAAAATATTTATGAAACTTTCTTTTGTGCATTTTCTGAAGGTGACCAATGGACTTTAATGTCAACGATGTTTACTTTATATAGTTTGTTTAGTGAGGTAAAAACACTTTACGATTTACTTAGCAAAAATAAGCAAAAGTGCTTCACACAATCAACTACTTGTAATAATTTAAGGGTACCAAGGTTTCAGATATAGTATGTTTTGTTGTTTTGGGTTTGTTTTCTAGTGATTTAAAATAAGTTAGGGGTAGTTGTAGAAGATTTTATTAATATGGCTAAATTGTGGATGGTTAATTAGTTGTTAATTAACGTCCTACAAGACTGTACGCTTGTTGGGCGAAGGCGGGAAGTAATGGAGTTAGCTAGTAGTAAACCAATCATATAACTACATAATAATATCCATACATCTAAACGTTAACTTCGGTGCAAACCTACATGTGAACTCGCTCTAACACAAGTACAGAGGCGTAGCGATGGGGGGGGGGGCAGGGGGTACATATGTCCCCGGGCGCCGACCTTAGGGGGCGCCAAAATGGGTTGTAAAAACAAATTAAAATGTCATTTTAGCTGCATTTTTGAATTATAAATAGTTTGGGGGTGGGGGGTGCAAATCGAAAGATTGAGGGGGGTGGGTGCAAATCGAAAGTTTGAGTGGGGGTGCAAATCGAAAATTTGCTCCCGAGGGGCAGGGGCGGATTAAGCTTGGGCGGGGCCCCAGGCTTAAAATTTTTGGGGGCCCCTGATATATATATATATATATATATATATATATATATATATATATATATATATATATATATATATATATATATATATATATATATATATACTATATTAAAAAAATCATGGATTGTTTTAACTTATAGGAACATTTGACACCGATATTTACAAAACTGCTAATTTATAAAGCAGTCAATTAGGTTCAGAGTTTCTTTCAGGCATCTCTTCGGGGGGGTGGGGCGTGAATAAGCGACCAACATGTAGTGTTTCAAACCAACACCTTCGTGAGACTGATTCAGTCCACTATTTGCCAGTTTGTTGGAATTGACCTCCCTGGCTAATGGGAGTCAAACTCAGCCGGTATATCCGTGTCACGATAGTTAGTGAACAGTCATTCACGAATTTATATTGGGCGTGAGAAAGCTGGAAATGCACACTAACATTGAACAAATATAAATATCCATGAGAATATTATGATGTCGTTATAGAACAGACGATAAAGACTGTTGGCACTTGTTTGCATGCAGACGCGAAAAGAAAAAAGATAATTTCAAGCCTCTCTATGTAAGAAATTATTAATAACATACAGAGGCTAAACTAGGCCCAAATAAAACTAGTAAGCACGGCATAAGCGTCAAAAAACCACACCTCCAGCCTCCAACCTCTTAGGTGTCATCCATTTATAAGGCATACAAGAAAGTTGAATTTCCACAGTCGCCCTTTAAAGAACGCCATCCCTGGCCTGTTTCTGTCTAGGCCTAATTTAGGCCTAAATGTCGGTTACCTATTTAGGCCCTATAGGGCCTAAATAGGTTTGCCGCAACATAACTATCCATTGAATTGGGTTAAAATAACACGGGTACTACCGTATTTGTTTTTAGGTCTACATTTTTATGCAGCTTTGTTTTTGTTATAAACAATACAGAGTATGATTCAATGAATGTGATGTCCAAAAGCCATCCCCACCTCCACCTATACACCGTCCGCACTTTTTCACAATTGTCTAAAGTTTTAGATCCATAAGTTGATGATTTCTTATATTCTTACGATAAATCTTTCTTGACGCCAACGAAATTACAAGCTAATTAATTAGGCCTAACTGTTTGTGGCATATTTAGATATTTTTTTTTATTAAAAGTTTCGAGTTTACAATAGGGGGTAGAACGCACGACTGCTGACCCAAAAGTCCTGAGCTCTAATCCCAGGTTCATATCCAAGAACACCAAACACAGATGGGTACCTAGATCAGTCTCAAATTTTAAAACTACTAAAGGAAGCTAGGCATAAATCTAGAACTGATCAGAATGTCTCATTTTTTGAGAACTAAATATGTGAACTCTACCTAATATTCCCTAAGCTCACCAGGTCCTGATGGGCAACTAAGATATTAATCTAAGGAGTTTTAATCCAAATAACTAGATCTGGATATCCTGTACCTAAAAAAAAATAATATCCAAAACATCATTTCTAATGACAAAAATGTAAAGCATCTTTCATACATTTCTTAGTAGTGTAGTGGGTAAGCAAAAACGGCCAGGCAATTTTTCATTGATTGCTAAGGCGGGTCAATAATGTTGCTTGTCTGGATGCTTGCTAGTGAGACCTAATTCAGCATGTAGATCCTATGCCTAACATTTGTATTATTTTAATGTTTGTTACCACCTCGCTACACAATCTGACTTAAAAACTTTCAAGTGCTGTGCATTTTTCAAAAGGCGTCAATCATAGACTCATGTGTCAGAACTCGACCGCTATTTAAACTAAAGTGTGTTCTTGAATATTAATACATTGGTATTTAAAAAAAAAAACCAACAATTTAGCTTTAAAGGGAAATCTACTATGATTTTAAAAGGAAATTTTGGGGCCCCTAAAAATCGGGGGCCCCTGGCTGCAGCCCTCTCAGCACCCCCCTTAATCCGCCACTGCCGAGGGGGGCGCTAAATTGAAAGTTTGTCCCCGGGCGCTGGGAAGGGTCGCTACGCCTCTGCACAAGTACCAAACATGAACTGAAACAACTGAATATTAGAATCATTAAAGCCAAATTTAAACCGTACCCCGCTTTGACCAAAAGATGATACCACTTTACAACTAACATCTTACCAAAATACTTATTAGATAAAACTGTTTATAAAAGCAGGTCCGGGACATTTTAGGATGTCCCTGAGTTCACCCAGCTCTATTTGAGTACCTGGCGTGAATGTGGGAAATAAAGACAGACGCGCATCCTGTCCATAAATTTCCCCCCAAACAGCAGAGGTTTTAAAACAAAGAAATAAACATCATCTACCGGATGGATTGTCAGGTTGCAGAGAGCATTTGTAGGGGGGTGGGGGGTGCGACCATAAACTTTGCTCCTATTACAGCGGTTATTAAAAAATAAGATTGGCTGTTAAGTATCAAAGAGTAATTAGAATTGGGTTGGGGTTGGGAGGGTAGGGCTGTGGGATCCAGACAACAAACTTCTTTTCTATACAGAGGTTATAAATAAAATGAGCCGTATGGTTTGAAAGGGTACTAGTAATCGTGTAGTAAGGTGATTGCAAAAAACAAATCAATATCCATCGTAACGATTGTAAGGTCTGAGATGGTACTAGTCACACGTGTAAGATTGTGATTGTAAAAACAAATCAACATCCACCTTAACGATTGTAAGGTCTAGGCAGATACTAGTCAAACGGTGATTGTAAAAAACAAATCAACATCCACCTTAACGATTGTAAGGTTTGAGATGGTGCTAGCCACACGTGTAGGATTGTGATTGTAAAAACAAATCAGCATCCACCGTAACGATTGTAAGGACTGAGAAGGTACTAGTCAAACGTGTGGTACGTAGATTGTAAAAACAAATCAACATCCACCGTAACGACTGTAAGGTCTGAGAGTGAAAACAAATCACACCAGTTGGCGGTGCCTTAACTCCAGCAGACGATCACCTCCATCTGGAACATCTCAACACGTCTGCTGCCTGGTTATGTAAGAGTTCCGCCTGCCCGTCATAGACCTTTACTTGTTGGTGTAACGTTTCAATGTAAAAAATACATTTCTGTTAGATTTATCTCCCTTTGGCTTAACTGCGGGTTAGACATGTAAAATTCTAGATTAACGGTTCTCATATTCTGGTACCTGGGGTGGGGTGGGGTGGGTGGGTGGGGGGGGGGGGGTGATAAATAAACTGTATATCACTTGAGGGGAGCGGGACAATAGTTGGTGAGGAGATGGGGCGGCGAAAGAATAGTTGGGGTAAAAGGATACCAGTTAAATAGACTCAAGTAGTTTCCTGAATGGTAGAAATAGGGGATTATGATTCTAACACAAACAACATTTATTTGTAAGTCATCAGCTATTTCGCGTGAACGATGTATAGTTGAATTCATGAATTATGTAAAACAAAAACCCAAATGATCACAAAGATTTGTTTCCATTTTTTTCAAAACTGTGATCTTGAAAAATGTTTTAATTATATTCAACTCGGTAAATGCTTGTTCCTAATGAAGATATAACGAGCCATTTTCTCTACTGAAAAATGCGAAAAGCTTTAAAAAACATTTAAAGATAATTAAAATAAATTGAAGCTCAAAATTGTGTCTTGTAATTGTAAAATAGATAGGGGAGAAGTGTTTTTATAAGAATAGACTGCATAAATCTTGTGTACAGTTATATGGGGTAAGGATGGGTCTAACTTGCTTAGTTTTTACTTTCTCGTATATACGAAGTATAGAGAAAGTATTGTAATCGTGCACAAAAATCAATTGAAATTTTAACAATTTTCACCGTATTACACCTCAGTCCTTCATCACATCCGAAGTATAGAGGACTTATTTTAATCGGGCAAAAATTATCAATCCAGATTTATCAAAATTAAGAGGTTTTATGCGTTATCCAGTCTGGAAAACTGGGCTTTGCAATTCTGTCCGTATGTCTGTGTGTCTGTGTGTGTGTGTGTGTCTGTCCGTGTGTAAACACGATAACTTGAGTACCGTTACAGCTAGGTTCATGAAATTTCATATATAAGTATTTTATCAAAATCGTAGATCCGTATCAACTTTTGAGCGATTTCCGATAACCGGAAGTGGTACTTTTTTTACTTTGAATTTTTCAAAAACCTATAACTTGAGTACTATTTCAGATAGATAAATGAAATTTCACATGTAAGTAAAAGATC